TTATTTCTCGATCTCGAATTTGTTTTTCTCTAATATCTAAATCTCGTTCTGCTTCACGTTCACGATTTGTTGCCATTGTCTCCTCTCTATGTTGCCACCTCCTTTCCCTCTAATATAAGATAATTATTAATATACTAAAAGACAAAATATATACACACAAGGATATGATACCTCTTTAAAAGCCATTTCCATTTCGGTTTTTCTTTTAGCTTGCCTGCGCTGTTCCTCCTCTTCATCATCAAAGACATAAGATTCACGTCTTGATTCCCTCGCAGGAATGAAATTTACAGATTGATGGAAGTGTCCATATTGCCGATCTCTATCACGATCCCTCTCTCTATTTTCTTTTCCATGAGAACGCTCTCTTTCTTTCTCAGCCTTGGCTCTACGACTCGCTCTTTCTTCTTCTTCTCTTTGACGCTCTCGTTCTCTTGCCGCAGCACGTTCTCGAAAGAAAGCAATTTCTCGGTAAATAAGATCTTTTTGATCCGGAGGAAGATCCGCCGGTAAATCTGTGTCATCATCTTTTTCTCCATGTTCCATTTTTAATTCTGAAGCTGGTGATCGAAGTGATACCCTATTTTCATGGTGCAAATGTAGTAAGAGAGATGACGAATCTTTTCTATCCTGTGGTTTAGTCATGTCTTCGACAACATTTATGACGGATAACAAAGCATTTTTGTCTAATTCTGTATCATGCTGAAAAAATAATTAATAACATATTAATTATGATTTAATAATAAATTATAAACGATTCGATTTATAGGAACGATCGAATACAAACCACTGTTCTCGGCCTTGAGGCTTCGTATTGATCAAGATACTTTCTTGTATTCTCATCAGCTTTAACCTATCGTTCATATGTGTATATATATATATAATTACAAATTTATTTTGATGAAGATACCGAATAAAGATTAGAAATTGATAAAATCAATTGCTTACTATTAATTTTTTGCCAGTGGCACCTTCTTCTAAAGCTGGAAGAACAACACCCTTGTCTTTCTTTTCATCACCAGTACCTTCGCCACCAAGCACACGTAAAGCACGTAGCACACTATCAGCATCCGCATATTCTGCAAATCCAAAACCCTTGGGATTTCCGGATTGGTCTTTAACCCGTTTCCAAGTTTTTAACGTACCACAAGTCTTTGTGTATTTGCCAGACAAGCAAATCGAGAAATAAAAATCAAAAAAAATAGTAGGTCAGCAAAAGTATTAATAAACCCACACCTGAAAATATCCACGCGCGCCCAATATGTGTATCAAAGAATTCAAGTCAAGACTAAAATAATTCAAATCGAAAACTAAC